CGAGAGAGGGGGAAAGCGATGGTAATGTATCAGAGAAATGATTCTCTAAGGCCCCGAAGGCTGCACTCAAGACTCCGGGTTCATTAATTTTTTATACACAGCACTTGGCCAAGGTCTATTTATGAAAATACGCTTTCCGCTTCATGGAAAATAGAAGTAAAAAAAAAACCGTGGGGACGGATGGAAATTTAAGTGTGTAATTTTTTTTATCTTTTCGCTCTCTTCCCCTTAATATATTGTTACAAAATAAAGTCACAGGTGCCTTGTGGAGCAAACTGTACATGCTTTCATTTCTGTGACATCTATATATATTTTTCTCCTTCCAAAGCTAATGAATAATGTACCAGCCTTAAAAGGAACTATGCAAATTGCTACAAATACATCACTTTATATATCTTCCATTCTCCTGCTCTCTCCTGAAACCGCGGTTTAGTCACAGATTCGGTGGCCCGACCTTAGCGCTGTTGCCTGCGAAGCTCGGACAGGCACAAACATCCGCGCTTCTTGAGCGTCGCGATAATGTTTTAACATCCCACTTTACAAAAGCTCTCGCGTGTCTCATTTCTTTGTTACAAGGGCGTCAGTGTGGAACCTTTCAGTCTCCCCGAGCCACTGTCGCAAAATGTCTAGACTGGCGTTTTTTTCACCACAATTTAATGTAAAACAAACGCGGGTAAACTTCGTCATAAATTCAGAGGGGAAAAAAAACGAGCAGATTCTCAACTAATAGTAAGACCTTTCGTTTAAATAATCGAACTAAACCGCGAAACGGAATTCCAGCGGTTGTAAAACTTGAAATTATCTATTAGGTTAATTATGTAAACGACGGAACCGTTCTGGATATCTCCTCATGCCTCTCTAGATGTTTTAGTTTTCTCCGTTTACACTATTGACTTTTATCTTTCGCTGTTCTGAGAGGGGGGAAATTTCTCATATTCCCAACTTGTCCCGTATTTGGATTCTACGGGAAAACACAAAAAGATGAGAAAGCTTTCTGCGCGTGAATTATTTAAATCAGACAATTAACCGAGACTGTCGCGGGACCGTGTCTCCGTTCACGCATCCACGAGTTTCCACTTCGCCCGGAACCGCTCCTTCAAAGCCATCCGGCGAACATGCCCGTGGGGGTCCCACGGGCGAGTCCGGGTCGTGGGGATGAGAATCAGGAACATGCATATTTCATCAACGAAAAGGGAAAGTTTAACAAGTCAATGGTTGTGACATAATTGACGTTTGCAACTTTTTAGTTGTCCGGCATGATCGCAGTCTGTGTCACGACCCATCCTTTACTGAACCACAAATAACGTTTATCTGGTAAAATCGACTGAAGATGTGACAACTAAGGGGATTTAAAAATAGATACATTTAAGGAATGTTACAGATTGCAGGCTTTAATCATCGAAATAAAAGGCTTTCATTTAGGACCACGTTTTTCGATTTGATTTGAATGAAAGGGCCGGCTTTATTACAGAGGAGTGGGCGATAAAGTGCGAAACGTTTTATTTTTATCCCTCCCATCTGCACGTTTGGCTGAAATGGATATTTAGCTAAACGCGCGATGTACTTGACATTATAAATGTATGATTTTAGCGTAAACATTTTGTTGGGTCTCATCTCTTGCAGTTTTTGTGTCGACAGCTTCCCCCGGCTGGTATGATTTATTAAAAGCGTAGCCTGCTGGTACCGCGCGTGCGAACCGCAGCCCAGCCCGCGAGCGGAGCGTCACGGGACGGACAGCGTGCAGTGTGAACGCCGGGGCGGGTCTCTCTCAACTCCGAGAACAGTTCTCGGCACTCTGAAGTTTCTGAACAGAAATGGAGGCTTAAAAGTAGTCCTTGGCCGGGACTGCTTGACTGAGGGGTGGCGATATGGAGCACAGGTTAGCACTCCAGCCTGGAGAAGTCAAAACCTGTTCTGGTTTCGCCGCTGTTGTCCCCTCACGAAGGGTGCTTTAGCTGCCTATGTGAACGACCTGCTGTATAATCGGGTGTTCTCGGGATCCTTGCAAAGGGGATGTGGTTCTCAACCGACTTGTCTTGTTGCACGAAGGATTAAGTTTTATTGTTGTGAAATCAAGAATTAGAAAGTGTACATCGCACGCACTGCACCATCTCGCGCGTGCTCACTGCCTGTGGCCTCTGAAGAGGCAGGAGAACCGCTGGCCTAGAGCAGCTCGTGCGCAGGGCTCGTCCTTAGTTCTACACGCCTTGTACGGGCATACAGTACATCTTTACATATCAACACACCCGCTCAGGAATGCGTTTAATATAAGTGCAATTTCCTGGAACAAAGTATTCGTTTTCGTGCATTAAAATAAATGAAAGAAAATTACGTTTTGTGATTCTGGCAAATTATTATTTTTTTTCCCCTGCAGACTCTTTGCTTAAATAATGCCGTAACTGCCAAAGCAAAAAAATCTTGGAGATACGAGCGTATCCTGTGGCTTCTTGAAATCTTTCTTTCACGGGTTTTCGAGAGATGTATAAACGGAGCCTGGACTTCACGGACCGGATCGCGGCATGTGGAGACTGAAAGCTCGAAACAGTACTGAACACACATGTCAGGCACGAAGCGTCATTCCTTCACTCATTTTTCTGAACAGTCACTGACAAGCCGGTGCTTAGCCGTCGCCCTCAAACCTCCCTCCTAATTATATTTGGATTTAGCCTAATCTAGATTTTCCAACACGGAGCCCGGCCTGTATGTACTGGCAAGTGACGCGTCGGATCCCGTGGAAACGACACGCCGGCGGTGTCGTTTTGTCTCGACAGCGGATCGGCGGTGTTGTAGGGGGCTGTGACCCGCAGAGCCGCGGGGGCGCGCGGCGGCAGTGGCAGGGAAGGGGGACCCGGCTCGTGTTACGGCACGCGGGGCCGTGCGCGCTCCGCCGAAGGGTTATCCACTTTTTTTTTTAACAAACGCGCGCAAAATCAATAGTATCATAACAGCTCGTATTCATTATTCATTAATAACGGGGTTTACAGAGTGAAACCACCTCCTGAACAAGCGAGAGGACTGGAAACCTGTCGCGTCTCCCAGGCCAGGAGCGCTAGGGGCCGGCAGCGGCTCCCGGGCCAGCAGGGACAGAGCCAGCGCGGAAATACAGAAGCGGAGGCTCGGGAGTGTTCCCCGCTTAATCCCTTCTCCTCTCCTGAACGCGACACACACGGGGCGCCGGGGCCGGCCTCTCTGTGCGTTCCTGGATATGTCGGGTGTCCGGGACTTAATTTGTACGTAAACACATGCGGTGGTTGGGCACATTTTCAATTAACTGCTCAATAATGCTATTCGCGTTTCACAAAGAGTCTTGGAAGCACGCGAGAATGCCCAAATAGAATAATCAAGTCATCCCATTATTAATAATATTATCATTAGGAGCAGGAGGACCGATTGTGAAGCACAGTGAAGGTGAAACGAGACGTACTGTACAAAATGCCCACATCCTTCTTTCCTTGTCCTAGTCTGTCACCCCTGAAGCAGGCGAGTTTCCCCGAGTGTGAACCTACATTATTGATGTCTGTGTTTAGGGTTGAGAAGACTGTGGTCAAGAACTTCCTGGCACACAGATCAGCTCGCCGATCAGGACTGCGCGCTGGTTTCTTCGGCTGAATAAGATGAACCGCCTATCGATACCCACTGTAGCAGAAACGTCCACATTTAATAGAAGGCGGAAGCAATGCAGTTTAGAAATCTCGGAAACGGAGGTATTTTTCGCTTGTGAAGTCGTCTTAGTTCTCGATTCTTAATTCACCGCACTTCTCTATAATATTTCACGAATTACAGGTTGAGGTGGTGACCTTTGTTTTCTGAAATAATAAAGACGACAGATGACACTCCTCTAAAATAAACTCGTGGAAATGCCCTTATTTAATTAAATATCGTTTTAACACAGGCGCTGCCATCATTTAGTAACGAGTGCACCCAGTTCCTCGTTTAATCCCGAATTTCACCATTATATTCTAGATTCTCACTCTTATTAGCTCGGATAACCGTTTTAACAGGTGAAAAAAAAGAGGGCCCATTCGTCAGACTGGAATGATCAGTTTTACAGTTGTTGTTGTTGTTGTTGTTGTTGTTGTTTTTTATCCAGATAAAGACACGGCCAGTTGTTGTTTTGCGGTCACGATTCCAGAACGTACGAACAGACGGGAGGACAGCTCGAGCTGTACAGTGTGGCGCTCGCTCCAGTCAAGACTGTCCGCTCCCTAACGAAAACAAGTCATTATACCCTCACAAACGACTTTGTTCGGGGAATACAGGGCAACGCTAAGCCTTCTCACCGACTCGGCAGCGGCTCCGACGAGCCCTGCTCCAGCGAGTTACCGAGGGGCAGTGGGGAATTGCGCGCCAGGTAATATTATCGCTTGGGGGGTTGGGGGGGTTTAGGAAGCGATTTTAAAATTCAGTGAAGCGACAGGCTCGTCTCTGCCCGTCGACACCGTCTTACAAAATTAAAAACCCGCGTTAATAGCTCACCTCGTGGCGGTGTGCATTTGGCGGAGCCAATAGATGTGGACAGTTGGCGAGCGTGCATCTTTCAATATTTCATTGGGAAGAGTTTTAGCCGCGGGTGCTCCTCTCCTTGCACTTAGGCTTTATGAAAATCTCCGAGACAAAAACTGAGAGCGGGTACGCCGGAGCAGCGGGTGTCACTAAAACGGAAAAGCAAGGAAAATAATACCGAGACCTGTCGAAATTACAGCGTCCCGGAATATTTTTATGCCGCGATTGTGAAATTGTTCGGCTGCGTAATTAGACACAAGTAAACACGTTGCCATTAAAAAAAAAATGCTTTGGTGCGCTCATGTTAATAATGTGCATTTAAGGCCCGTAGAAAATGTTTCTGATGGATTGAATCCAGAGCTTCGCACGCCATCGGAAAATACCTTGTATTCTGTGTGTGTTTCTTCCGTTTGGAAAAGGCAAACGTTTTAGTTTCTGTAGGAGTAGCATAAATCATGCGCCCGTATTTCTTGTGGATTATAACCACGGAGATATTACAATTGCGAAAGAGGATTTTGTCAATGCAACAGTTCTCTCTAACAACGCTGCCCCTGTATAGCCATTTTCTAAAAGAGAACTGATAAAGAAACTCATAACAAGATAGGAAGAGCTGAAGAGGTAACACGTGCATGGTTTATTCGGGACTCTGTCGCGTACACAGACACTTTCAGCACACCTTTCAAGAATCACAAAGAAAATCGACAAGCCGTCTTCAGAATAAATAAAGATCAAGTAAATAAATAGAAAAATAAATCAATGAATAAATATAAATAACCAACAACCCTCCCCCCCGTAATTAAATATCTACAAAGTGCACGAAATGAATCGGGAATGCAGAATAAATATGACAACGTTGCTGAAATGTTAATATCGATTCCCTGTTAATAATAATAATAATAATAATAATAATAATAATAATGTCAGCAAAACTCAGAAACACCAAAACGCATTTTGGTCTACTTCGTTAGGTGTTTATACGTACAAGGAAAGTCAAATACAGCGTAATGATTCAAAATGATTTGATTGTCAAAGCATCGTTACAGTGAAATTACTTTCGACTTTTAACACGTTTACATGTTTGTGTAGTCTATAGGCTCTCCTACAGGCTTGTGAGGGGAAAATGCAAAGTCTCTATACTTCGCCCCTGCTTTCGGATCTAACCATGAGCGTGCCTAGAGGAATGAGGTAGACACCGGGGACGGCGGACTGTGTGTGCTTCGTTATTGCAATGCATTCAGATTCAGGAAGAAAACTATAACGCACTGATACGCCCTACTCGTGAACCATGCAATGGAGAACACAGATCGTCGGGTAACAGAGGAGGTATTAGAGAAATCATTTCAGCTGAATCACGTAAATTAACATTTAAAGTTATAAGCATCGGTTGTTTTTTTTTACCTTCTGCAAAACATCAACATTTTTTTTAAAAAAAGAAAAAAAAACATTCAACGCGCTCTTCACACAGAGGTGCAATGTATTCACAAATATGTACATTATTAAATATAAAAAGGGTTCCCTTTTCGGCTAAAGAGAATTCTTCTTCTTCAAGTTTCTCTGGGTTTGTCCAGCGACTGCCGTGAAAGTCAGTAGTAAAGTTCTCTCCTGTCCGTCCGTATCGGTGAATTAGGAGAACGGGTTGAGATCCTTTTCCCCTTTGAGAATCTTTTTATTTTTTAAACGTTTTTAAGCTTTTATAACAAAAAAGGGCGTGTGTGTGTGGGGGGGGTTATACTGTTATTTTCAGGTCCTGCTCCCATTGGAAAATAACAAAACCGCGAGTCGCCTGCGGATCAAAGGTCCGTCGCTGTGTGCTCTCGCGGGTTTTATTCTCGGTTATTTTGAAAATATGAATCTCTGGTCCCGTCCCCGTCTCCCCCCCCCCATACCCCAACCCCGGTTCGGGGCCCTAATGAGCCGCCGAGAATTTCATGCGCTTCTGTTTCTGCCTCTGGTTGCAAAACCACACCCGCACCACGTTCTTTTTCAGGTCCAGTTTCTCCGCGATGGCGGCGATCTTCTCCGACGACGGCCGCGGCTGCACGGCGAAATAAGCCTCCAGCGACCGCTTCTCCGGGGCGGCGATGGACGTGCGCTTTCGCTTCTTGTCCCCGCCGCTGAATATCTCCGGCTTGGTCATCTTCTCCCGCTGCGCCCTCTCCGCTTCCTCCAGCCAGGCCTCCAGGATGGGCTTGAGGGCCACCATGTTGTTGTGCGACAGGGTGAGCGACTCGAAGCGGCAGATCGTGCTCTGGCTGAGGCAGCCGACGCCGGGGATCTTCAGGTTGGCCAGCGCCGAGCCCACGTCCGCCTGCGTCACCCCCAGCTTGATCCGCCGCTGCTTGAAGCGCTCGGCGAAGGACTCCAGCTCCCGCGGGTCGGGCTCCGAGTCCCCCGCGCTGCCCAGCGAGGCGTGGGAGGCCAGGCCGTGCGGGTGCATGTTCATGGTCTGCGGGTGGTGGTGCGACATGTGGTTGATGGCCGACATGTGGGCGTGGGAGTGCGAGGCGCTGGAGCCCACGTCCGGGCCCGCCATGCCGCCCAGGGAGATGGCGGGCGTCAGGTGGTCCAGGAGGTCGCCCTCCAGGCCCTGCGAGGGCTGGTGGTGGTGGTGGTGGTGGTGGTGCGAGCCCAGCACGGAGGGGTGGTGCAGGTGGGCCGAGGACGAGGTGGGCGTGCAGGTCATGCTGGTCATGGTGTGGTAGGTGGCGTCCGGCTTGAACGGGTGGTTCTTCTGCGACACGATGTCCACCGCCGCCAGCGCCTCGGCCCTCTGCAGCAGCGTCTCGTCGAAGCCCGCGAAGATGTTGCCCTGCAGCTGGAGGGAAGGGAGAGGGGCAGGTGGACGGTTACCCCGGTGGCCCGGCAGCGCGCTCGGCGACAGACAAGACAGTCGCGTGTCATCCCCAAAACACCGCCATCGATCACCCCCTTCACCACCCTCCTCACACTTCATCCGCCGGCACGGAACAACCCCACGCGTGTCTCTTTTCGAGTGGGCGTGCGGATGGAGGCTCCTGGAAACACGACCCTGGCTGCACGGCCGATTTTGTTTTTGTTTTTGTTTTTTTTTTTAATATTCCCGGACAACGTGCCAACAGTTTTTGTGGGAAATGATAAACCCAGTTCATTCGTATCACCTTACACGTGAACGTTAAATAATAAGCTAAAATCCCACAGATCGATGTTAAATGAAAGACGTCCAACACCTAGGGTGTAACGCAATAGAGTTCGGTTTCTGTATACATTATAGCTTTTTTTTTTTACAGTCTGGGTTTCAAAATATTTACAGTCACAGAAGAAAAGTTTCTAAAAATCCGCAAGCCGTGAGGTCATGTTTTTAAACACAGAGTTCTGAGGAACACCGCGATACTGTTCCCAGTCACTAATAACTACACTCTGGACTGTCATGTAAACACGCTACTATTGTCACAGTGACTGTAACTTACCGACGGTGTAGGCAGACAAGCTCTCCTGATAGCCTCCGAGCTCGAGTGGAGAGGGGTGTACTTCGGTTCGTGTAGAATCGGATGCATGCTGAAGGCCTGCTTGCTGTTCATGGACATCATAATTACGCCAAGTCCGACTTCCTTTTTATTTGTATTGCTATACTCTTCTTCTTATTTCATCAGCAGGCAAAAGGAGAGAAAGATTATTGGCCACCCCCTACAGCTACCTTGCGTGTTCTACAGTGTCCGCCGATAGCTGTCCCTCCGACGGCGCGCTATATTATTGTCTGTGATACTGGAGGTAATCTCTGCATGCAGCTATAATATAACGCATGCCCCCAGGCCCCGCCCGGTGATGGACCAACACTCCTTTGCTTCCATCTCATTGGACCTCAGTGGACGTAGAGACACGCCCACAATGTAGCCAAGATCCCGCCCCTTACGCCTCTGCTATTTGGGAGCGAGTGAAACCGGCGCCCCGCCTCCATAAGAATTCTGTGTCGAGCCCCCCTCCGCCTACAGGCACGTTCTCATTGGAGCGGCACATGACACGCTTCGGGCAGGATTGGCTGGGCTGTGAGAGGCTGACCACGCCCACCCCCGAGCACGCTGCGCAGGTAAAAATGTGCTCAATATCTTCGGCTTCCTATGCGATGCCTCTTGCGTTTGTTTTTTTTAAAGTTAAGTTAAAGGGAACGCGAGGGCTGTGAATGGCAGGTGACACGTTGGCTTCGGTTTGGTTTTCTGTTCAAGTTAGGGCGAGTTTGCCTATGCTAATGACTTGTCCGAGGTGACCAAGGTAAGGAGGAAAATCCCACGACAGTTGGAGTACGAGCCAGGTCAATTGTCTCCTTGAAACGCTTAGACGTGACTTTTTTAAACGCCTGGATCAGTCATAGAGGGACAACGTCAGACTGCAGAAGAGTCCAGGGCCTCTGGGTCTCTCTGTGTTTCTTCAGCGTCTTGTATTATTCTAGTACCGAGCGTGAATTAGTGACTGGTTTTACTGCAGTGTTTTACCTAGAACGTTAGAAGAGTTTGCAGAAGTTCAATCGTTCCGAAAAATAGATGAGGTTTTTAATTAGAAGGGATTATAAATGTGTGTTAGTTTTTTCCCAACGTAACGTTTAAACCGGGAAACAATTTTTCCCCCCAGTTAGTTCAAGGAAGCCGTGTCACTCCTTCTCGAGCTCATGATTAATGCAGTTCTCTGCTTCCAGGTGATTTAGTGCAATTTAATAAGTGCAAAGGGAGTTGAATATCCCGTCAAGAGGCAAAAATTCGTATACTGGGAAGCAATTTCTCGGTGGCGCCCAGACGCCACATTGTCCTTTTATATACAGTAAGTCACCATTAAACATCTTAGGCTTGGCAAAACAAATTTGCAGAGCCCAGCCTATTAAGCCTTTTTGCTTAAAATGAGATGCAGTATATTTCTACATTATTATTATTAATAATAAAAATGAATATTAACTAGATAGCTGTGTTCTGAGCCATCACTCTCAGTTTCTACAGGCTGGGTCAGAGTATAAGTATAAGACAGCTCTCTAGAGGTGAACCGATTTCAGTCTGAAATGACGTGGTTCAGCCAGCACACCTTAAGTACCTCCTCCTGTCATCCCTTCACTAAGTCTGACAGGTGTATTCGTTCGCACACCTGCATGTCTTTTATTGATAATTGCGTCCCTGCAATGTGATGTCTCCGACAAGCTGCGGAGACTGTGAGAAGACTGTACAGCTGGACAGCTCTCTCCGCTTGGAAAACAAGAAAATAGGATTCCAAGAAAATGATCTGTTGATGGGACGAGAGGGCTGTCCTGTGAAAGAACGAGGCGTGCATGAGACGTCACTCAATCGGACTGATGACTGCTGAAAGAGCAGGGAGGTCCGTTTCACCAGGAAGCCAGAGATCTGGCAGGGGTCGCTGCTTCATATTCAAGTGCTACGGACTCATTAAACCCGTCATTCAATTATTAAAATCCCGTTTTGCTCAGGAAAAACAGAAAAGTGGAAGAAGTCCTGTAAAAAGATCTTGTCAGGGACTGCAGGTATTCAAGGCCAAGCTGTGGGTCAGCAGATCCCGATTCGGCCAAGGGGCTCTGTTTATGATGAAAATCTCGGCACGCCTGCGAACGGTTTCCTTTTTTTTTTTTCTGGACACCCCCTAAGTAGGGGTCTCCCCAGGGTCCCCAGTGCCCCAGTTTGAGATCTGCTGCCTCTGCGAACCGGCTCTGTAGTTGTGCCTTGCCAGAGCCCCTGGCAGCACGAGTGTGTGGTTCAGCAGTCGGGAGGCAGGGGGAGAGCGGGCTGGACCCTCCTGGTTTTATCTTCCAGCTGGTGTGAGGAGCACAGGGCCGCCACCCCCGTACTGCATAACGGAGGCGCACAATAGGAGGGAGTCTCCATGGCCTTCTCCGAAACTTGAGGAGCAAGGAGCCGAGGAGAGGCATTGTCCAACATCTTGTTGCTTATTAATTATGAATCCCCCCCCTACACATACACACCCACATACGCACACACGATTCTTCATGGCAACCGGCGTCATGACGACCAACTTGTTGGGGCTACGGCTGCTAGGAGACAGACATGTGGCCAGACAGTCCGACTGTCACGGCTGGACATTGACCCCCCCAAAAAATAAAAGTAGGAGTTTGGAGACTGCGGAGTGATGTGTCAGTCTGAAGTAGAATTGCCTGGTTGCCCTGACTCCCAGTATCCTCTCTCCAGCCTGGACATGGGGTTTTTGATACTGGAGCTTGAATTATCTGTTCTTCAACAGGCGGAGGACAGCCTGTTGGCCAGTCAGCCACTCTGTGCAACTTTACCCAGCGAGTGGCAGCAAGGAGACTGAGTGATCAGCATGCACGCAGAGAGGGGACATCACTTTCCGACACCCCTATAGAAATCAGGTTGCCAAGATCAGCAGGCAAACGTGTGCCGACTTAATTAAGCAAAGGGCAAAAGGGGAAGTATGTTTAGGCCTCATAGCTTTAATCCCCTCAGTATTTTAATCAGTGTGTGATTCGCAGTCCCTCCCTCTTTTACAACCCTGTAAGAGTGCACGTTCCCTTCCATTCTGGGCAGCTTCGTAGTCTGCAGCTCGGTGAATTTTAGCTAAACATGCCCGGGGAAGCACTTAATTAATGCTAACGAAACATCTTTATTAATTGTAATTAATGCAGGATTGGGAATTCCCTGTATTGATGCGTATCAGGTCCTGCTAAGCGGTTTGCCATGCCTGCGGGTTGTTTAATGAAGTGATCAGTGTGGGCCAGAGAGCAGGAGCCCCCAGCTACCCCACACGGCTGGTAGGGAGGGGGAGGGGGAGGGGGCAGGCAGGAGAGGGCAGGCCTGTCCTGTAGGTGGCAGATTGCAGGTGGGGGAAGATTGTAAGGGTGGGATCAAAGGTGTAGAGGACAAGAGCAGAGAGCCCCGCTGCGTTACGAGTCTCGGCAAGATTCAGAATCTCAGATGGGTTTATTCTTTTAAAAGCAGAAATTGCGCCTGTAAAATCATTTGTTTTTGTTCATGATTTGTTTGTGCTTTGCCAGGGTTTAGAATCAGATGTCTGCCGTGCTGTTCAGAGCTTCGCTGCATTTTGCCGTGTCCCATTTTTAGGATTTACCACGTGTTTGTTTTGTGTCTTCTTTCTAATCTGCTCCTTAGTCTTAGTCTTCCTTAGTTGAATCTGCTTCTTCTGAGGAGCGCTGTACTCAAGCACATGGTTACCTGCTTAGTGTGTTCTTTCTTCATCCAACCAGGTTATAATTATCATTATTGTTTTGCTACCTCCCTCTTCCTCCAGGGGGTGCTGTGTTGCACAGCTCGCGCTGCTGACCTCGAGCGGAGAGAAAGGGGGAGAAAGTGTTTTTATATTGCCTATACTGTGGCTGGTGCAAAATTGACTTTCCAGTACATTGAACAAATGGACAAAATATATATATATAAACTACTCTTTCAGTCCTTTTCTTCTGTGTTCTGTTGTGTTCTTTTCAATGGCTAAATTATTGATGAGGTGTAAAATCTAGCGTTGCAGATTGTGAACATTCACCAAATCGCTTGATTTACACTGCAGGGGTGCTGAAGGGAAGGGGTGTCTAACTACACACTTTAATGTAATTGCCTTTAGGGTTCCTAGTAAATATTTTATCGACTGCCAGTGCAAATTAAAGAAGCGAAGCTGGAAGGGGGTCCTTCCTCATTCCATTTCCATGTACTGTATCCAGCGCACTTTAACCTGGCTGTGCAGGTACAGGACTGCTGCAGTCACATGGCTGGATGGGGAGTCTCTGGGACGGGGGGGGGGTGGGGCTGGGACGGTGCTGTGTGCCATGTGCCGTTGGGCTGCAGAGCACACTGGGAAAGATTCTTCTGCTCCTGCCGGATGTCCTGAGCTGAAGATCAGATCTCCAACACAATGCCGTCCTGCAGCCGTCTCCTCCCTGTGCCTGTTGGCCCGACACTCACGTCACGCTGAGGATTTTTAAGGAGAGGCAGAACACAGAGCTGAAAACCTTTACTGTCCCCTTAACCAACCAGTCCCACAGCAGGAGCAGGGTCAGTGCAGATGTGCCTCATTCTCCAAGCTTCAGACAGGTTTTAGAGTCCACTGCTTTTGCACTCATCTTTGTATTGTGGAGCTGCTGCAATAGGGAGATTGGGAGAAAAGTAATGAATCTGTACTAGGGAGAACTTGGCGGCCATCAATTGTTTGAAGAGAGACTGAAGCCAGGAGAGTTTATGGAAATGCACTGCAGCGGCTGGGCATCAGACCTTTTCTAGGAGAAATGCATTCAGTCAGGTGAGAAGACAGTAAGGCATCACTGTAGAGAAGCAAAAATCACATCTTTAAAGGACAACGCGTGAAGATTAATAAAAGATGACCATGTGCTTTCATAAGGTAGAAACTGAATAAGGGCGAATAGAAGCAGACTTGGCATCTCTAAAAAACCCAAACAGCCGTTATCGGACGAATTTACATTTCAAATAAATCGGATTCTTTTATGGTAGAGAATTCTTGCTTTTCTCGATCATTCCGGCTCTCTGGAATATTTAAGCTCATGTTGGCCTCAGCTCAGTGGTGGAAGTTTCTGGACTCTGGGATAAGCTGTGCCTAAATTAAATTATGCCAAGCCCATTGAGGAGCAAGCGTAAGGCTGCACTATTGGGTTGGAATTTTTGTAACCCTTCTGTCCGACGTCCGGAGATGGTTCCCAGCCAGAGGCTGGGTTTCAGACACCTCTGTCCTGAAACCCTAAAAGCATCACGCTGTCCTGTGAAAACAGACCCCCTCACCTCAACCTGTCCCGTTGCCCCCTGTGCACCCTGCTGGGTGCAGCCGGGCAGGATGAGGGCTTGCCGTGATGTGCTCGCGGTGACTCAGGACTGTGCGGGCGTGTTTTCGGAACGCACCCCTCACCCTCCGCTGTGACTCAGAGCAGCAGCTCAGCTTCACACCTGCTGCGGCATATTTTAAACTACTGCAGGTGCAGCTGTAAGAACACCAACCGTCCGCCAGCTCTAAACGCGCCACACTTGCAGTTTTCTAGGAGATAAAAAGTGTGCAGAGTTTATTACCGTTTCTTGCTTTTAATGCTTTTGCCATCCAGTTCCCTTGCCCTCTCCTCTTCACCTGCTGTTATATCTGCTCAATGATTCGGCCTTGCTAACTCTTAAAAAGGACAGATCAATAGATTAACTGAGTGTTCATTAATTATGCATTTCAGCCCTACAGCGGTTGGACATAAAGAGAATGTGTTCTTAAATTGACGTGTAAAAGCTTTAAAGTAGGGGCTGTTTACTTGTTTCAAAGCCTGCGGGGTCCGGAGCTGAATCTTTGCCCGCCCCCCCCCCCAATCCCGTCCCTCCATTTGTCTCCTGTAGCCACGGGGCAAAGGTTTGGGCATGTGGGCTGGTTGGCAAGGGTGCCGCCCCTCTCGGGAGGAGAGATCTGGAGGGGTCCAGGGATCCACAACTCCTCATGAAGCAAAGGAACATCACTCCTGCACCCAGTGCCAGGGAAGGATCAGGACACCAAGCCACACACTTCTCATGTCTGCAGACACACGCCTCAAAGCTCTGGAAGTAACAAGAAATGCACCCCTGTTA